CTGCTATTGTCGTCCTTCCATCTGGGTGATGTTCATGCAGACAAGGTGTAAATTGGAGGGTCTCGATTTCATCATGAAGCCTTCGGATTTCATTCTCGGTGTTAACGGAGTGCTCTTTGCAGACAGGAGTGCTGGTTCAACGAGGCTCAAGGGTTCTGTTGCCCTGTCTGTTGATCTGGGAAGCATTCCAGAAGCCATTTCAGCAACACCTCAACCACTGATCGAAGGAGTTGGTGACTTGGTGGGTTGTCGTCCTCCCAACATACTCATGTCTATCTCCATTGCCACTCTGAAATCCCAACTGTCTCTAGCTGCTGACAGTGCTGAGTATCACTGCCTCCCGATTACCTCTTAACACAGCAATATCTTCCTTGCTATGTTTTTTTTTTTTTTTTTTTTTTTTTTAGTGCGTAATGTGCATTTAAATTGTTGGCCTTTCGGCCAGCCTGAGGACTTGGTTTTATTCTGAGGAGAAACAGTCTGGTTCCCTTCGACCAGCAAGTCGAAAACAAGGAATAGGTAGAACTGAAAGAGGTCGACAGGGTCAGTGCTGACGGGGAACGATTGTGCTCAAGACTTGTTTTTATCGCATTGTTGCATTGCTGTTGAAGGGACGCTGGACCCGCTTTCCAGCACGTGCTGCTCCCCATCAGTAGATGGAGCAACTCGGGGCGCTGCTAGGAGGGTTGCCCATACCACCCCATCTAGCAGTGGGCCACTGTTTTTTCACAAAAAAAAAAAGAAAAAAAAAAAGAAAAGAAAAAAAAGAAAGAAAGAAATAAAGAAAGAGGTTGACACGGCTGCGTTGCCAGAGTGTTCAGCTGGGTCTCACTGGGTATCCATACGTTTTCACTGATCTTGAGTGACCCCCCCCTAAAAAAAAAGTTTTTTATTTTTATTTTCATTTTTTATTTTTATTGCTAAAGTGCAACGGCCTTTAGATATCATCATTGTACTGACCTGCCCCAGGCAGTTCAGAATGATTTCACTCTGTTCGTCTGATAGTAGATGGATTCGAACTTGAGTCTGTATTTCAACAGTTCAGGGGTGTACCAACTGAGCTAGGCCCGTCGGTTACCAAAAAAAAAGTTGCATGCGAAAAAAGAAAAAAAAAAAGGTTTACTGGGTTGAGATTGGGATGCGGATCGAATATGGGCTGGGACTTAGGACTGGGTTGAGCTGCCTCTGGTTGGCTAGATGGCCCGGCCGAGCGAAGTCCTGAGCAAGGTCCTGCCCAGGTCCCAGGCACTCCCAGCACAAAACCAAGAAAATATAAAGAAAACACATGTTATGTAGAATCGCAATGCGAACAACTGGCTGTGTGGGCTGAGGGTCACCTCAGGAAAGATACGACGGACAGTGCACACAGAATTTCATGCACAGCTGCTGACCCCCCCCCGTTAGGCCGATAGGCTGACATGTCATGCGGGCAGCAAATCCGCCGCTTGGGTCGTTGGATTGCCGGGAGGGAAGTGCTGGTTCAAGCACGATCAGCAGCCCCAATGGTTTGATTTCCAACAGTGTTATGATCCTGGCCAATTTCGAAGTACACATTCATCAGATAGTACAATGCCGTCCAATTGCAGAAAGAAATGAATGAACTTGAGAGGACAGAGAGGGTAAGAAGAAGAAGAAGAAGATGATGATGTACACCAGCATAGACAAATGATGAAGCTCTTCTTCTTTGCTAATCACTCTCCTCCTCCTTATCTCCTCCTATCTTATTCACACAAGGAATAATAATACAACCTTGAATGGCTGAATCAGAATCAATGTCCGAATCCCTCTTCTACTGCAGGTATCACTGGAGGTCCACCATAGCCATGACCGCCTCCCTCACTCTTCACTCTCATAGGCCGAGGCTATGGCGGACTACTAGGCCTTGCCCTGATGCCCAAAGGACAACCCAGAGCAGCTATGGCTGCTCTAGCTCAGGCTGCCATGCCTGACTCTGCCTCGAASCTTCTTGGTGTAGCTCTGCCCCAACGGGGACCTTCCTGGCGCAGCRCCCACCAAGGTGATGAAGATGGCTGCCACCATAGCCAGGTAAGTACCWCTGGYGCTCCYCCTTCCTCCTGGTCTTCTTCCTCCTCCGTGTCCTTGCTCCTTCCCCAGCAGCRCTKCTCCAAGCGAGYGCTGCTACAGCCAGCGCTCYAACCAGTGTGTCGCCAAACTTGCACACCGACAATGAGGCYGGGCTCTTYGCCCGGCCYGGARATATAGCGGCCTGCTTGCCTCTTGGGCGGKGACTTCCWGGCCGYTCGGCCTTCCAAGCAACCGGTACCTCCTCCCTTTCGGAGGGAAACATCATGATTGCAGACTCTGATATTGCCCGTATAGGCCCTAGACTCAGACTGGTTGGACTGGTACCCGCCTAGACCTAGCCTACAACTACTGGGCCTCTAAAAATGCCACTTTTGTATTTTTGTGCTCAGCCTCAAGTACCCGGCACATCTACCTCTTCAGGGTGTGGTACCGGCCTACCTGCTACTTGAGTGTTTCCCCGCTGCTTCAAGTGTTGCCGGCCTCGTCCCCCGCCACTTGAGTGTTTTCCCCTGCTGCAATCCTCAATGTCACGGCCACAGGTAAGTACCGGCCCTGAGGGCCCAACGAACGAACAGGTGCCCTTGCGGGTCACACACACACTCAAGCCAACCAGCACTCAGACAGACATGCAGACCAGCAAGCGTGCACACACACAGACATGCAGAACTTAGTAGCAAGCGGGAAACTCAGTAAGGCATTCAGTCCATGAGCAAAACTCAGAAATCAGCTGTGTTTCAGTCGGTGTTTGGTCGGGTCATCACAAAAGAGAATAACTGACCAAGCCTAAATTCAGACCATGTAGTGCGGATTTGAGATTTATACCTCGAGATTGAGTACTGTAGTTACCACAGCAGCTGCAACACAGTATAGCATGATGCTAGTAACTGCGGCAGTAACTGTGGCAGTAACTGTGGCAGTAACTGTGGCAGTAACTGTGGCAGTAACTGTGGTAGCAACACCACTGTAGTCACTGCTCTCAAGCTAGAAGCCTTAGTAGCTGACTGTGTGGTCAGTACTGTTGTTTCTGTAACTGTAGTTACTGCAGTCAATGGGATTTCTGTAGTCACTCTGATCACTGTTGTAACAATATTGTCACAGTAAAAACTGTAGCAATGGCAGCACTACAGTATTGACAGTAACTACAGCACTGGAGCCATGATTGCAGTTAGAGTGCATTCACATTGGAAGCACTGGAGCCATTGCAGTTTAAGAGTGCATTTACATTGGCTGCAATGCAATGCGTTTTCACTGCTTTTCACAGGATTTTTGCTGCATTATCGCTGCATTTGGGGTGCGATTTCGCTTCATTTACCCTGTATTTTACTCTGCATTTTTGCTGCAACTTTGCTACACTTTCGCTGCACTTTTGCGGCATTTTTGGAAATTTTCGCCCATTTTCACTGCATGCATTTTGGCTGCATTTTCACTGCATTTCCTCTGCATTTTGGCTATATTTTAGTGCATATACATTGGATTTTTGCTGCATTCTGCTGCATTCTGCTGCATTCTGCTGCATTCTGCTGCATTTTTGCTGCATTATCGCTGCAGTCGGGCTTCATTTTGCCGCATTTTTGCTGCATTATCGCTGCATTTGGGCTTCATTTTTTTCGCTGCAATTTCTTTTCGTTTACCCTGCGTTTCTGCTGCATTCATTCTCTGCGTTTTCACTTTTATTTACCCTGGATTTTTCTGCATATTTGTTTCATTTTTTGCTCAATTTTGACTGCATTTTTGCTGCATTTTCACTGCATTTTCACTTCGTCTATCCTGCATTTGCCCTGCGTTCGCCCCGAATTTCCCCCACATTTCCCCTACATTTACCCTGCAATTATTCTGCAACTGTAGCTGGGCGGCAGTTACCCTGCAGT